TAGCTATTATTTCTTCAGCATTATTTTGTTCAATTAAATTATTCCATTGCTGTTGATATAAACGCCACTCTCTTCTTTCACGCAAAAATGCCGGGGAAACTCACGTGGATCGGTCGTGTTGAATCGGATTTAGCGTGCTGCAGTCGGTACGTGCTTCCACAGTTAACTGGCCTCTTGATAAATCCGCGAGCAATAACATCATACATATCGGACACGTGCGTATGCGGGGCATTCACGCCGCGGCCACGTGTCGCGCGACATGCTATGCGAGATTCCACGGTGGCGTGCATTTTTTTTTCATAAATAAAACGGCACGCGTACACCGTGCGAACGAATTGTGTAACAATTCACCACCTGATTCAGCGACACGGTCGTCCCACAATCGAGGCACGTAGCGGCCAGAACGTGCGCGCCGCGGTGTCTCGATCTTCATTATTAGCTTACTCTCGCGTAATATAAAATTGTACAATAACATTTCACGGCGCGGAGATGACGAGCTCGTTTCGCGACTGACATTTCGTGCGAGAGACCGGGAGGGCTGAGTAAGAATAGAAATGGGAACTGTATTTATAGCCCGCGTCTCATCGCTCGCTTATCGTCCCCCGTTCATGGGCCTGCAAAGTGAACTGCTATCTCTCGTCAATGGCTGCGTTCAGCAGACAAGACTGCTCAGTGAGCGGTCACTAATGGGGTTGCGTTTTTAGATCTAGAGGAATAATTCTGTCACAGTACAGGCCTAAAAGAATAATCCAATCGATGTGAAGTGCTCACTGAACAGCTTCCTCCGTTGAACGCAGCTAATGGTCGCGCTCGATCGGCGCCTCCACCGCGATAGCGATTCGACCGCGGAATACAGAATAGGGAAGACTATCTAGGTCGGAAATCGGGGTAGACTCGGTTAAGGGGACGCTGGAGTGATTTTGCACTTTTTGCATCTATAAGAACTGTCGATTCACGAAAACATTTGTGTAATATACCATTCCCATAACCGCAGCGCTCGCGACCCAACGAGAGCCTCGCGCACAGCTGATCCACTTGTTTGCGACCAGCGAGTCGCGGGTGTACCGACACGGTGTGAACATAACATTGCGCCGTTAACGACGCGGCCGGATCTGCGTCGAAGATCGGCCTCGGAGGCAAACTTCGATCGCCTCCGAGCGAGAAATATTGGTGAATTGCCGACGAGCACGGCGATGATTATAAGGCACTTACATATAAGGCGATTGACGATCCCCGGTTGCGTTAGTCCGCGACCGAACGTCGACGCGTCGACATCTTCCTCCGTCTCTCCGCGAAGTGACTCTCGAGCGCGCGTGTCGCACCATCGCGTGCTATCTCCGAATTTAATTTCGCACTCCTCTCCTCCGCGGTCACGCGTCGCCGCCGCTTCCCAAAATCACGGCCGATTCTCGATAAATCGGCTACTACTTGTCGCACTCGGGACAAAGAGAGAGAGACGTATCGAGAGATAATCGAAGGTGGAGGTGAGAGACCTTTTCCCTCGCACGGAGGAAAGGCGGAGCGCACCTTGGAGACTCGCGTTTTCTCCCGCCTAACTCGCGGCACCGGTGCGTCGCGGGCGGCCCGCGGGAACTGGGTGCCCCTGTGCGAAAGTTGAGTGAACTCTGCCGTTCCGCGACACTTGCAAGTTGCAACGAGTCGACCCGAGGCTCCCCTGCACCGCGAGGGAAAGCTTCGCTTCCGCTGCAGCCGCGGCGCATCGCTCGGCCCTATTTGCGTGCGCGCGTCAAGGTTGAGGACGCGCCGGAAAGAGAGCCAAGGTTACACGGTACGTACGCGCAAGGTTTTCCTCGAGTAGATCGATTGGCGGACGGCGATCTATCTGCCGGAAGTCCCTGGGCGAGCCTAATTGTCGTCCTTACTTCGCGGCGTGCGTTTCCGTCGCGGAAACGCTCCGACACTCTCTCGCCACGCTTCTCAATTTCCTGCCGCGCCAATCGGCAATCAGCGGGCTCGCCCGCTTTCGGAGCGCGTCGGGTAAAGGGCTAAATCCGGGTCCGTTAAGGATACACTCTCCAAGTCGTTATTTAGCGAGAGATATTTTTGAAACGTTTCTCTCCCCGCAGGAATGCAGTTAGGACGCAGCTCTTTTATGGGGTCATTCGCAAGAGCCCCGCGCTCCCATCGACCTTCGCCTCGCTTCGAGCGACAAAATGCATTGAGATCCGCGTCGAGGATCATTACGATTCTCGTTGGTATCTACGAAATATGCAATCGATCTTAATTACGCGCAAAACACAGATGCGAGAGCATGGAACGTTGTAAAAAAATGATATTATCGCTGGGAGCGCACACTTCTGTATAAGCAAATGCATAAGAAAATGGACCAATCAAATTCCTTATGCATATGCTTATGCACTTATGCGGAAGTGTGTGCTCCCGGCTTATTCCTTTTCTAAAGAGTAGACGTTACCGACATGAATGTCGTTAATATCGAACAATTGAGGCCTCTTTTCCGTGAAACCGATTGGTTTTCTCGAAGCGCGGTGTGTTTCACTTCCCCTTTAAATTCGTGTCACTTCTTTTGTTCGTGTTTCTCATCGGTCAACCTTTTTAATTATTTGTTACGCGTAAAAATTATCGTAAGAAAATAAGAAAAAATAAATAAGTCACGCGCGCAGGTATTGTTCTAGTTTCTTTAAGGACACAAAACTTCTCCACTTATCTAATAACTCATACAAAAATATTATACTAAAATTGCAGGACAAAGTATGGAGTACCGTTTATGTGTTATATCTTATACTTCACTGAGGAAAATTTTCATCGGACAAACCAATCAAGTAGTGTTTCCGATGGTTAATTTTTCCGATTACATTTCCCGACTAAATTATGGATACATCCGACGAAATGCAGTTACCGATGAAATTTGATCGGAAAACCGATCATATTTTTCATCGGATATACTTTTTTTGTGTTTTTTATTTAATTTAATAATTTAATTGGATTTAATTGGATTAATAAATTTAATTGGATATATCCGTTTGTTATTATGTAATTGCATTATTCGATTATATTTAATCGGACATTTTTCTCAGTGTTGTATTCACTGCAACAAGGCTTCATATGCATCTAGAATTTACAGCGATAATTGCAGTAGAACGCATAGCGTCTGCGGTTAGCCGCACGACACGTACGAAGATAGTTTTCACGCGAGGCCAATTTACAACTAAATTATTACTGCACGCGTCTATAATGCAAATCGACGACAACAGCTCCAAGCCGCACAGTGGTTCATTAGCGAGACAATTCACGCGATTTGTTTTTCTCGGACATAGGAGACGATCGCCGCGCGCGTAAACAATACGAAGATATGCCGAATCAGACACGAAAGTAGATGCCAAAGGTTGGAAATTCTCCTCCTCCGCGCATTTCTTCGGACGCAAAGTGACCGAGTGGCACGTGCTACAGTCGCGTTTCTTCGTCGAACTTCGCTCGGCTGCGCACGTTGGGCAGCAGTTGATGTACCGTGATGCACGCATACGAGGAAAGTGCGTACGTCGATACGCAAAAACCAGTTCGCTCCGGGTCTCCGTTCAATATAGACCGCGGACGATGCCGCGGAGTGCGTGAAGTTTGCTCACCGAGGACCGAATTAGAGCTAGGAAATTCCCCTCGTTCTCTCGTGGGTCTTCGCCACGAGATGCTCACTCGATTACACTCTTTTCAGCTGGTCTTGCTCGATTATGAAAGAGTTTTGCATTAAACGCCACGGTCCTCCGCCGTTCCTTTTCTTTCTTCATTGATATTTTAGACAGTGTGTTTTCCATTCTCCTTTCTCTCTCGGCGAAGATTTCAGTCTCTTTGATTTGTCACATCTTCAGTTGAACGAAGACATCTTAATCCTTTCGTGACCTGCACTGGGCATATAAGACCCACGAAAAGATTTAAAAAGACCCAATGATTTAGTATAAATATTTAATTACTAAAAAAGCGTACGAAAATTAATTAAAATAAAAATTAACTCGATCATGAAGGGGGTTAACTCGCGATCGCATAGATAGCATTCAACGCATCGGCGTAAGAGTCGAAACTAATTCTAGATTTATAACAGTCCGAGACACCAAGGATTAGACTTTGTGTCTCCTCATTAGATTTTGAAAGAGCACAGCAGCCTGTCTTTACTCGGTCTCGTACCCGCGAGTACAGTTAGAGCGCTTTCCTGCGGAATGTCGCGACGAACGCATCTATCCTCCAAGTGAAGAGAAAGAGAGCCGTGTCTAGCCAGGGAACAAAAGAGAGACGGGACGAGGCTGATAATGAGCGAAATCCGGTGCAGTGCCGGAGCCGATCGCGGCCCTTAATTTTCGTAAAGGCGAAACGCCTTCTTGCCTCCGCGAGACGCAAGCGGCCGCGAATCGAGCAGGTATCTCGAGTCCAAATGGCGCGTTGATCCGCTTACGAATAGATCATCCGACTAGCCTTCCGTGTCGTAAGAGGCGACTAATAGTGCCTTGAAATCAAGCAGCTAAAAAGCAGCGTAAGATAAAACCTAGAGAAGACATTTCACGACTATTGATTAGTCCTGGCCCACTTGGACTCGACTAGATAACCAGCGCCATATTACACAAGAAGAAGAAGAAGAAGAAGAAGAGAAAGATTTCGAGTCCGAAGGAATCGCGCGCGCGAGACTATCCTTTTCCAGGTAACACGAGGAGGCCGTTCGTAACGCGAGTGCGCGAGTCCCCGTGTTCTGCGACTCGCTCGGCTCGTACGCGAGTTCGGCCCTGATTGAGCAGGCGGGAGAGGGAAGCGGAGTGACTCCGACTCGTGTCGGCGGCACTCTCGGATACTACTCACGCGGGCGAGTCAGCCAGTCACGTACGTAACGCGGCACCATCGTGAGGTCCCTCACGTTTTTCGTTTCTCCTTTCGCGAGGGGACAAGTCGGTTTCGTTAGTGCGACCGACCCGATCGGCTCCTTCTCGCCAGTGAACACGCACTTGCTCCTCACGCGGCGAACGCGACCGACGTTATCGCGGCGGACAGTGTGCGCCGATAGTGACCGCGCGCGAATTTCAGTGAACAATCCTCTGCTCTTCCTCTCTGCGTGCATAGTCTCTGTTGTTTCGGTACGCTCTTGCTGCGCTGAAGCGGATGCAAAGGTACGTACGGTTTTCAAGAGGAGAATCGCGTTACACACACACACACATACAATTGCGAACGTCGTGCGTAAGCACGTGTTCCGAGAGGACTCCGGGAGCCCTCGCGCGAGCATCTCTCGGCTTCGTCGTGTCAGCGTGTCTGTGTATCCGTGTACTCGTGTTCGTTGAGGTTTATTCCTTTGTTACATAATATTGCGCTAAATAAAATGCCCGACAGTTAGAGAGCGGAAAGCTAGGACCTGCGTATCGAAATGAAATTTTGAATGTCAAGTGGGGAAAAAATATCTCGGACTTGCATCAAATTGAAATGCATGCGGAGAGAATTTTGGTTTTAATTTAGCCCGAAAATCATGTAATCGTGGGACAACGTGGCATTTCGAAGAGTTTTATGAGAGTTTTTCGAAATTTTACCATACATTTTACTAGTAATTATACTTGCATATACATTTTACTAGTAGAATGTGTCGTCAAATTTCAAAAAGCCCACAAAGTTTTTTAAAATGCCACGCTGTTCCATGATTATCTCATGATTTTCAGGGTAAATTGTAAGAGAAACTTCTCTCCCCCCATGCGGGTTGCGCTCGTTGAGTTATCAGAGATAGGCTCGCAAAGCGATAACGACGGAAACTAAGGAGTTTTTAAATTAGAAATTTTAATTTATTTAATTTTTGTATTTTAAGAAAAATATTAACTGTTTGGGTGCTTTTCCGCCCCACAATATATTGAATTTCGTCTTGAAATATGCGATCTCCGTTGTGGCGTAATCAATACGTCGCGTGAGGATTTTGTGTCATACAAATGATTAAAAGTTATGGTAAAGTGCTCGATACTGCAATCTTTTTCGAAATGCAACGATGCTCCCCGCGTCGTCGCGATTAGGATAGCTACGAACATGGGCGTATTTTTAGATGCAAATGCCTGCTCTGCGCTTCACTATTAACGCACCGTGCCGTAAGAAGCGAAGACCGGGATATATCATTATTAATGTCCATTTCTACCAATGTAAGTTAAGTTTAATAGTTGCAAGAATTAGAAAATGATAAAGAGTTAAACCGAGACGAAAGTTAATCCACATTGATAGAGATAGACGTAAGAAAGATAAATCGCGACGTCCTCATCTCGAGTTCGATGATTACCATTTCGCGCGCGTATTCGCGTCGAAGGACGATGTGATATCATTGTCACCTAGTGTCCTTTTGAGCTCCATTGACGATGCCTCTCGGAAGCGGCCAGTCGAAGGTTCCGATTTGCATTCGCCGCGAAAAAATATCTCGGACTTGTAAATTGAAATGCTGGTTACGCTCGTTGATTTATCAGAGACAGGCTCGCAAAGCAATAAAGAGCAACGACGAATACTAAAAAGTCTTAAACGGAAAAATAAAAATTTTAATTTTTGTACTTCAAGAAAAGTATGAGCTATTTAGATTTGTGTGGGAAAAAAAGAATGCGGATGCTCGTTTGTGTGAATTCTTATTTTAATTAGCTCGGAGCGAGTTACGCGGCGTCGTAAAACACTCGACCTTACGTTTATCGGCGGACTAAAAGACTCAAATTGAATTTTCTATTATCGACTTAGGTAAATTAGCGCGCGACGTTAATTTGCGATCGCGCGAGCGGAATGTTACCGTCCTCCGTAGCGTAGATCTGGCGGACCAGTTCGAATTGGGCGTGAATCAATTCGGTATGTGCGAACGATTGTTAATGGTGCCACTGGCCACCGTGAAACGCAACGCGAATGAATAGTTGCGCAGTCGAAATTAGCGGCTCGCAATTTCGCGCGTCATCTATTTCATATACATATACATATGTACATCTTTCTCTTAATTTCTCGTGCGCTAAAAAGAAAATCTACGAGCCACAGTCGCAACTTTTGACTCACCGTCGTCTGAAATATCCGCGTACTCTCTTACCTGATGCACACGGAGTCACATTACAATTAACATTCTAGTTAATTATTGCATCCGGTTTATTTTGAAATAATTAAGAGCTACCGGAATACTGTCTGGAAAAAATAATGTTTGATAATGTGACGCTGTTTCCCTAATTTGAAATAATCATAAGCCGTAACGTCGTTCGAATTCTTTTTTCTGTTTTCGTGGACGAGCAGAAAAGTGAATATTACGCTACTATTTTGGATAATAAATAGGCGTTCGGATAACTTTGACACCGAATTATTATAATTATTTCTTAATGAGACTATAGTATCTCTGGAATCCAGAGATGCAAAAATAAGTAAGTGGGACTCAAAGTGGGTCACGAAAGGGTCGACGAAGACTCTCGGTCCCGTTTCTTCAGTTTGCGGACGCACCGTGCGCGGTACTTGTTTCTTCTTTTCATTTTCGCGTCGTACGCCGATCTTTTTCTCCGGGGGTTGAAGTAACGTTAGAACGTTAGAGCGGCGGCGATTGGAGCGCTGCGGGCGTGAATGAGCAGCTACACAGCCGAAATTAACATGGGTCCTCGTGAGCGCGAATTTCATGTCACAATTGACACTGTGCCAGAATTGATGTCGACCTACCTAAGCAAATTACAGGGCCGCGCGGGCGATATTATTAGATGGATTAGATACAGAGAGAGAAAGAGAGAGAGAGAGAGAGAGAGAGAGAGAGAGAGAGAGAGAGAGAGAGAGAGAGAGAGAGAGAGAGAGAGAGAGAGAGTGCGGAGCACAATGTATTTTCTAATATACCAGCGAGAAATCGCGCCATAGCAACGTCGTTTCACGGTCAGAGAGAGAGAAAGAGATAATTTATCTGCCTGTCCCCCTCGCTCGCTCGAATTTCATTCAGTACGTGGACGGTAAATATCCTCTACAGCTTTTTAAATATCCGGACGATCCTTTTTCACGTGACATCGTCAACGCGGGTCTCTTATTTTTAGTTTTTGTTTAGGTCGCGGATATGTAGTCGCGGGCAGCCGCATAAGCGCTGCGTCAGCGGGAACGGATGTTGCTTTGTCTGCAACGAATGCAAAAGCGCAGTCGCCGATTGCGGTTGGGTAATTCTTGAATAACGAACTTCTACTTGTGTCAAGCTGCGAATAAATTTCACTCGTCTTTCACGAATTGTCGCGATTTTCTTACGAGGAGTGGGAGGTAAATTAATTCCCGGGATTTTTCTCAGTTTTGCGCGATCAACTCTTTTTTTTCTCTCTTTTCGGAAGGAGGGAAGGAAAGCTCAGGATTTCTGTAGAATTTGCAGATCAAACTGCAATCTCATAATTCTCGGAACGAGCGTACGGGATGAGATCGAACAATATTTGACGAATGTATTAATGAGAAGGAAAAATTCTAAGCTCCGCGACGCTTCGAATTGAAAATATAAATTAACACGATCCGCTCGCGGTATATATTTTATTGTTTGATAACGATTTGCACCGCCAGGAAGATGCCAATCGACAGCGCGAAGGCTCGAGCTCTCCGTCCCCTCCCGACAGTTTCCGAGATACAACCTCCCGCGTTTCCCCCGTTTCGGAGAATCTGTTTCACGAAAACGCAATGTCACGAGGAGGTTCCATCATCCGATCGTAAACGCATCTCCGACCTGGGAGTTGCGTCACGGCGTGACGCACTGCTTTCGGTTATCACGCCAATGTCGACGGGGCGTACACACACGCGGTGTCGTCACGGCTCGCCGTGACGAACACGCGGGATTTATTGCTCGAAGTTCAGCTCGAATGGCGCAATTGTCGGTTCAACGTCGAATCTGTCGCGACAGCGCCGGAGAGAAAGGCGACGCGCTGCAAGGTGCAAGGTGCGAGCGGCGAGCCTTCTCTCCGGACGCCGGCGATTCGTCGGCTCGGTAGGCGTTGGTAGCGGGACCGTTCGCTGGATTGGTGTCCCAGCCGGTCGGACGAGGGGCTCGTCTCGAGTGGTTCTCATGCGGGACTTGACGATGATGAGGCCGACTGGACCCGGTGTCAAGGCGGAGATACGACCAACTCCAGTTGTAGTAAACACATTGTGACGACTGCTCTGCATTTTGACTTTGCGACGAGAGAAAAAGTTCTGAAATGATTCCAATTTGATCGATGAACTTCGGTTACAGTAAACACAATGTGACGACTGCTCTGCATGCGTTTTGACTTTGCGGCGAGAGAAAAAGTTGTAAAATTATTCCAATTTGATCGATATATGCAATTTGGTTCCAAGGATCACACTCGATGTGAGATATTCTAAGAATTTCAGTGTTGATTCAAGTCCTTGGATTTTATAAACCCTCGCCTTAAAAATTGCTATATAGTTTGCCTCAGTAAAGCCAGATTGAAGGCCAGACAGGTTGCTCCTGAGGTTCGCAAAAAGCTTATTTCATTTCAATGGAGTGAGTTCAGAATGTAAGCAATGAATAATGGATCCGATACTTGACACATTCATCGCCAACAGGAGAATACAAAAATTATTGAAAAATCGTCGAACCCAAAGTGAATGGATGAAACGACAAGCTAAAATGACAAAACAATCGCGGCCGTTGGCGCGCAGTTTGTTATCGGAACGTGGTACTCGTTGACGTCAAGTCGCTCGATTACCCCGCGTCATTGGAGACAATGATATTTCCGCCGCGATTATCGCGCGGGAAGAGAATCCCCGCTGAAATTACGACGGTTATCCAATTGTTTACGGAAATTTCGAACCGCGTAGGCACGTATTTCCGTTTGGTGCAAATAAATCGTTCCATCGCATCCACGCGTTAATTAATCATCAGCAATGTAAACTCGATTCTCCAATTCAAAGAGCCTTGTTTCGTTTCATAAATTAGGTAAATACTGAATAGAAACGATGAATAACACTTTCACCGCCGAGCGTATTTCGCGTGATTTTTCATTCATTGAATTATTTTATACTAAAAAGAGTAATAATAAATAAAATTTTGAATTTATAGTAGTAAATATACATATAGTAGTAACTTATAGTAGATTTTTACAAATTTATATTGAATTGCACAAAAATATAATATCTAAAAGTCAATCAGTGGATTTTCACTGAAAACAGTGAATAGTCACTTACAGTTATACCACTGCGATTTTCAGTAGTATACATTATAAATTAGTGACTATTCACTGTTTTCAGTGATAATCCACTGATTGACTTTCAGAGAGATACATGGCGTATTTATGCGACTGGCGCCCCATGACAGTCACCGGGGATCACCGTGGTGATGAATGTGTTAATGGTAGGTACCTTGAAAATTCTGCTTGCCGGAAGCTTTACCTCTTCATTCTTTATTGCCAAGCTCAAGTCGCCGAAGGTACCTCAACCTGTTTACGAAACGGATTTTATCTCGATCGAAGAATCTATCATTAGACGATTGACGTTGGCGGCTAATTTAACAGTTACACTTTTGATGACATTGTTTGGTGAACCGGTATAGGTCTCGATTGTCGCAACAATTGGAGCAATATACGCGACTTTGACCGATTTATCAATAAAGCGTCTCGTAATGAGTAACACGCGAGCCGACGAATCAACCCGCTTGCACTTGATGACTTGATGACCCGCGACGTCACGGCAAGAAAGCCGCTGATTGGATAAATTGACTGTCGGCCGAGGGGCTCGACCGAGTAACCGGTTCTCAACCCGGTCTGACGGAGGCTCTCGAGCCGCTCGCGAATCTTGGAAATGAGCAAAGGTAATCAGCGCGGCCATTGAATATCAATTACTTGCGTCACCGATTGCGCACACTTCGTACTATGCTCGAGAGGCGCGCCGATGATGTAACATCACACATCTCGTGGACTATGGGCCCGCGAGATAAGCACGAGGCTTTAGTCATTCAACTGTTTACCACCTGCGCGACTTTATTATTATTTTAACCTTTATCAGTTCATATACTTTCCATAATCTGTCGGCGGCGAGACAAGCCGTGTCGTTGCGGCAGACAGGGAAAACGTAAACTTCTTCGTGCTTCACGCGCGAGTAAAGTTCGACGGAAGAAAGTGAGTCCGGCGAATGTAGGAGCGCGTTCTTGATTGCGTTCGGAAATGAAGTACTTATCGTGATAACGTGGGAATTTCGCGAAAGCGCAGCGTGAACGAGGATCCACGATCAATCGGACGGAAAGTAGCGCTACTTTTACCTTTGTTACCGACCTGTATATCAGCAACTACTCCGGCAGCATTCCTATCGTTGTAAATTGCGTATTTCACCGACCGGGGCCGCGGTAGAACTTCGTGGAATCCGCAAATTAGCGCGCAGCTATTAACGCGGTGCGCACGTGTGCGCACTATTAAGTTTCGTAATGAACTGACGGAAAGTATCGAGGGCACGAGTGGACGTTGAAGGCTGTCGGAACTAACGTAGCGGCGATAACTGCAAGAGTTATCTTTCTTATCTTTCTTCAAAGATATATCTCTATTCTTCAAAGAAAGATCTCTATTATGAGACAGGTTTCCAATATGAGATAGCAGGCTTTCAACACCCACATTCAATCACAAGTCTTTCTTCGCAACGATTACCTAACAATGAATTTTCCACTAAACAGATTTCACTCCAAGGGCAATAAATTCACGTCGGAATCAACAGATAATGCCTATTAATTTAACAGAAACCCCGCTATCTCATAAATAGGGGACTTTCCTCTACTGGCAAAACGCAAATGTACTTATTCATTCCGGATGGGGGGGGGGAGATCGTTAGAGAAAATTGTTCGCAACATGCTGAGCAATTCATTTGACATTACTTAACAGTGTTACGCGAACAATCATGATTATTTAATATTCTATGAAGCAGCACGCACGATGTTACCGCTCTTGCGGCTGATTAATTTCGCTACTTTGCAATTATGATTCTTCGCTCGGATTTAACTCGGTCCTCGTAACAGCGTGTACACCTCTTGTCTGCCACGTCTGCGAACAGATCCAGATAATTTCGGCCGATTGATAAAAGCGAACGGGCGTCTCAGGTGGGTTTTTAGAATGACTCATGTCTTCGCAGAATCGCTGCGCGGACGTTTCTCCAACCGGAATCTCGCGTAACGAGAATGATTACATGCAGAAAAACCACGAGTCTCCGGCAAACGCTCGATTCGCCGCGAGTCGCATCCTCGCTTGATTCCGTATCGCGCGCGTGTTGTTAATCAATCTGTAGTTATCAGTGACTCCCGAACAGTCGTCGCTATGTTTTACGTCAATTTTTAAACTGATTTACTAAACGATATTCTCGAGCTTCTCTTAACTTTTGAATCACAGCGAGGGGTAAACCGCTGACCAAAATCACGCACACCAATGCCTACTAATGCCCAGTGGGCATTACTTTATCTTATTATCTTGTTTAATCTCTTACTTTATCTTGTTTTATCTTTTTAGATTCTTTATAATGCCCCAGCGAGGCCAAATAACGCCCACTAATGCCCAAAAGTGCCTAGTAATGCCTGAAATCTGTACACCACAATACCCTCGGCGGTTTACGCCTCGAATCACAGATTTACTACACGGAGAGAATTTTCTCTTGAAATTTGCCCTGAAAATCATGTGATCGTAAGACAACGTGGCATTTTGAAGAACTTTGTGAGAGTTCTTTGAAATTTTACCGTACACTTTACTAGTAAAATATATACCGAGTATAATTACTAGTGAAATGTATGATAAAATTTAAATAAACTCCCATAAAGCTCTTCAAAATGCCGTGTTGCCCCACGATTACACAATGTTCAGGATAAATTTTAAGAGAAAATTCTCTCCGTGTAGAAAACGCGTTCTATTTTCGATAATAAAATATTGCAAGATTTAGTTTTTACAGAGATATCATTAATTGCTGTAAATTATAATTATACAAAAATATATGTTATATGTAGAAAATTAGGAAAAAGTGTTTTTCAGCTCTTCGATCTTTTTTAATTGATAGAAGATCGCGGGTTCATTTTCTTAAAATTTCGCCCTAAAAAAAACCTATATCTTTGGCGTATAATCGGATGCAAAACGTGTGACATTGATCTCGATATTATACCTCATGGTTAAGGTCTTAAATCGCGAAGTAGTTTGATCAGAATTTGTATCATACGACGTCTGACGTTGGCAATTAGTCGTTATTGCCGGAGGTGAAGGGTCGGCCTCCTGTGTCGCCCACGAGTCGTCGCGAAATCAATTTTAATTGAGCTCGCGCTGATACCGTTCGCTCGCCGATTTCGCCTTGGGGTTCGCTCGCGTCTCACGCGCGATTGGCGAACACGCTCGTTGACGTCACGCGGGGCAATGAAATAATTGCAGGCCCGCGTGTTCTCTCTATTGCGCTCTTTATTATTTTGTCTCTCCCTTGCAAATCGGTCGCGGGATTGTCCTCTTCGCGCTTGCGGACGGCGATAAAAATTTTCCACGCCGCGCAAATCCCGCGGAAAGTCCCTCTTTGTGAGCTGAAACAATAGCCGGCGCGGCGGCGAAACCGTTTATCGGTCTCTTTATGGAAATCGCAACGATTGCGACTTATCGCTCTTTCGTTCTTCAATATCGCGGACATAGTATAACTAGTATGTGCACTCTCTGTCAGCCCTTTGATCTTTTCGGTCCCGATCACGTGGTATTCCGCCATTATTTTCAGCAGCAATCCAGCGGCGTACATATGTGTGCGTACTGTAGTTGTATGTGTAGTAGTGTATCAAAGCTACACTATCGCACATAGAACTTTTCTCTTATTAATCTGCCCAGAACAATGTAGGATGCGCGGAAGGGACCGACGCAAAACGAGACAAATGACAGAGCGCGCATACTAGTTGTACTACACAGAAACAAATAAACGTCAGATGAACTCTTATATAATCAAATTAACGCGTTTATTGTTTCGTATATACGCAACAATCTACAATCTTCTTAGAAGCACTTAATAATCTTACATTGCAACAATATTACAGTCTTATTTACGTATTCTAATTGTCACTTCAAGAATACATATAATTATTTTGACAATTAAATTATTCTACAACATCATTGATTTTTATGTGACCGTATCTGGCAATTTTAATAATACAGAATTTTTTTTTACGAAAAATATTATATCAGCCAGGGTTTGAACCTGGACCTCCCTTCACTCTAGGCGGGCGTCTCAACCGACCATCGAGGCATATTCACAAGTGACTAAAATAAACACCAATTTTGCGAGTTCGGTGGATTTTTAAAAAATTTCCCTTGATTAATTATTAAAATTCGCTGTCTTAGCCCGACCTACCGTCCAATTCAAGCACGCGGCGAGATACGGCCGTCCCGGGATTGGCGTTGCTACTCTCTAAAGTTTTTGGAGTGAAAATAGAACCGTGGAGTGAAATATTCGCTCTATTGGAGTAAATATTTATTCTAATAGAGTAAAGATTCGCTCCAATAGAGTGAACATTTCTCTCCACGGTTCTATTTTCACTCCAAAAACTTTAGAGAGTAGGCGCGCGGGAAATTGCTTATGACACACGGTAGCGGCTATCTATAATAGGCTGGTTCTACATTAGTCGCATCGCATCGTAGCGTCGCAAGGGTCGTAGACTGGTTCTAATTCAACGCTGATTGTTTGAATCTATGATTTGCGACGCTTGCGACTCTACGATACGATCAATGTAGAACCGGCCATAAACAACTCCCCGCGCGACAATCGCGGGATGACCGCTTGAATTGGGCGGTAGGCCGGGCTAAGACAGGGATTTTTAATAATTAACATCTCATTAACTAGTGCGAAAATTGTAAAATGGTAGAGGATTTTTCGACTTAGTCTAGTCCGCTCTATCTGCAAATAAGAGGCGGGTATTACATAACACTCTGTATTTTCGACTGCGTAACGTAATTCATAGCGCACTCAACGCGGAACGTCGTATCTGACGGGACTAATGTTGTCATGCGTTTCACTAAACATACCTTCTTTTTAGACCGACAAAACAAGCTCCGAAACGATAAGATATAATGTCATTACTCCGGTTGCTTTGTTCGCGCTGCTGTACATACATCGCTATCGCGCGAAATTGTGCCAGATACATTGAAATGCGATTCCAGCAACGTACATTATTCGTTAGATTCGTTAGACATTCGTGGGAGTTTAACGGAGCAACGGTATATTTTTGTCAGGACTGAACGGCCTACACGTGACAGCTGACCGGTCACTTTCAGACCGCGCGCGAATTTTGCGAATTAGGATGCATTTATCTACTCTTACGCGAGGAAATATATTCTTGGAGACGAGAATTTGCAAATCCGTCCTAATATGGTCCATTCGTAATGTAACTCATAATTGTCGATGATAAACGAAACTACTGAAAACTTTTCTGAACAATTGCTTTTATCTCGTCGAGGTAAAGATATACTTTGTCCCATTCATTCTCGCCAATGCAGCTCTATATTTTTTCCTGGCGATTTTATAACTGACGCACGAGCGTCTTTATTACTACAATTTTTGCAATTAAGGTAAAAGTACCAATGCCCGGACATGCACTTATATCTGAACCGTCGTATTTTTTTGGTCTTTAAATGCAGATATTTAAACTTTCAACCATGAACATATATGTACATATTATACATTTAATATACATGTACATTCCATATTACAGGTTTAGATATTCGTATTTAAAGAAAATTTAAATTCAAATAGTATTTAAATTTGTTTATCGCGTCCTCAGAATTGCACTGGGACGAAAGTGCCTACGTTGCAACAGGTAATAATTCATGCGTTTATGGGCGAGAGCATTTTTTGCATAAGCATGCGTATGAAGAAATGGATTGGTTCATAGGGCCATCGTACATAAAATTGCATAGCTGTATATGCATAGCATAAAAACCGTTTAAACCAATGAGCATCGAGCATTGAGTCGCCATATTGATTTACATAACATGCTCATTGGTCTAGACTGTCTTATGCTATGCAATTTTGTGTGCGATGGCCCATAGACAAACGCATAAAGAAACAGACCAATCAATTTAAACAGGCTTATGCAACTTATGCAAAAGACTGCTTCCGCTGTTTCTTTTTTTTTGTACCGACTGACGAAGCGCCATCTACCTTATCGACGGCATCTTTATCGGCAGTCTCTTATCCATCGGTATGCAAATTCTTTTGTCGCGAGCTCGTATCAGAAGATGGCGGTACCGCGTCTTCTCGCGAGTGAAACTTGCGCGGGGGAGAGAGGGATTCACAGTTTTTTTTTTCAGTAAACTTAATCGTAGAAATACGGTAACTTCGATATGTAAACGAATTGTAAAAGTTTACTTTTTATTTTTGTACACAATTTAGAAACTGCGGTTCCTATAGCGTTGCCAGGGCTATCTTTCTTCCTACAGATAAAAAGAAATGAAAACTCGCATCCTGCAAAGATGCGAACCAAAAAATCATATAGGAATTTAAAGAAATAATTGTCACACGACAATTTTGTTAGAAAATCCTTTAATTTCTTCTATACATTTTATGTGATACAATATATTTGACAAGATTTTTCCTTAATTACGTTGCGATAATTTTACTCCTTTTAACTGCGTTAGAGGAAAAAGCTGTGTCCTTTAGGGCCTCTTTCACCAACTTCGGTTGGATTAATCGACGGTTAATCTAGCCAAAGATGTTGAAACGAGACCCTTAACCCTTTCATGACCGAATTTAGTTTTTGTTTACCAAAATTAATATTTTGATTTTATCGATGTAACGTTTTCTCAGTAGTAAAATCTGACGCGTGCTAAATCGTCGTGGCTTTTACAAGTGGAACTTACATGTCCCAGTGGTCACGAAAGGGCTAATTTAATCTCCCGACTCGACGGAAATCGCTCGTAAGTTTTCATCAGCCTCTCGCCGGAATGTGATTTACGATACACGTTCATTATTCTTCAACATCGCGGAATGCAATATCATCATTCAGAATTATGTCAATCTGAGGCTGCCCCCACGGCTCGTGTTAGAGGAAGCACAATCGCGTATTATATAACAGGACTGACATGTATATACACGCGACATTCGCCGCAGGAGAAGAAAATCGCGAATCCAGTTTCGTCGATGGGATCGATTGAACGATAAGCCGCGATCCCTTGTAATCATCGTCGACGATCGCGCGATGATTCACGGGGAAATCTACGAGGGAATTAAACATAAACAAAAAATAAATTATCCTAATCTCGATATCGCGAGACATTAATTTTATTCGCCTCTTCTCGTCGATCTCGACGAAACAGTTTGCAACAATCGGAAATCGTGCGTTGCGTAATCGCAACGATCCCCCCTTTTTCCTCGACATTTTCCCTCGACGGGCGACAGTCCGAGGACGTGCACACCGTGTAAAAATTTTCCTTGGCGTTCTTGGTCGATTGACTCGCGGTCGCTTGCGACGAGGATCCTTCGGAGACTCCTCAAAGGCGGATGCGCTACCGTCCTTTTCCATTGAATCGCGCCTGAATAGTCGTACGTCGTTTCTGCGTGATTTAGATGCATTAACGATCGTTAATCGACGCGCGTTGCGTCGAGCGCCGGGAATGCACGTAGGCTCGAGTCGACAAGAGTCGAGTACGCTCACCCGCGTGTGATGACATCTTCCTCGATCGTCCCATATTCACGTGAGAAAAGAGTGTCGTCTCCAGACGATGAGAGATCGATTGCTTCTCGCTAGTTTCCCTAACGGTTAGATATTTGTCAACGGATTTCCATAATGATGCACGCGAAGCCGAGAGAATCTCGTGCTCCATCTAGGGAGGCTTAAATACCGGCGCGTGCCGTGCGGCAAGTGTCGTTATCATCGTTACGTCGATCGATTTTCCGAGATTAGTTTCCGATTGTCCGGGAAAGCGCGAAATTGGCATCGCGTAGAGAAACACGCGATCTCCGGCGAGGCGCGCGTGCATTTTTTTCCCAATGCGCGGTCCGCACTTATGCAGGTGCACGCGCTCGTCGCGTTGAATAGACGACGACGGCGACAAATTCCTGAATTGCCTAATGACGCGCAGTCGTTACGCCGCGCGCGATAATTAATTCCATGACGCCTTGTACAGCCGCCGCCTGGTGCTATTAATAATTATTTGCCATCGCTGATCAACTCGACCTTTCTCACCGCGAATTAAGTTCGTCCGCGGTAACCTCGTTCCGACTGAATCGAGCGCGAATCGAGCCCGGATCGTATGCTCCATTCTTGCAAATCCACGTTTGACCGGGGAAAGTGCTTGGATGGTCGACCAATAAATATTTTCTTGATCGAAAACAAAATTAGTCCCTCGTGTATTCTTGAATTAAACCTACGCAGGACACGTATACTTGATACACATTTTAATCGCTCTCGCAGTAATCTGAGGCTATGATGATTGATCGCTTTTAAAAGATCGAAATCGGATTTTGTCTACAAAAACGTGGTCTACTCTATCGTAAATTTGCGCGGAAACATCCTTTGAATATGCGATGAACAAAAAAAAACAGGATTTTTACGTAAGCCACGTATGTGTATGTGTTGATTGATGAGCGTGATAGATGTTATTCATTCTTGCACATGGTGACACAAGCTTAAATTATTGTATCGCACACCTGCGATCCTTTGTCAATTTTTGCGAAACGGGCAAACGCGCCTGGCTTGGACGTATTAATTTCAAGGATTAAAGATAGGGAATAACACATTAATATTCGAAAAATTAATCATTTTAATTATCATTCTATCTCATTATAACGATATAAATAGTGTAATCAACAAATTGATTATTATTAATTTATACAGAAAAAGTAGGTTTTTACTTGAAAATAGTATAGTTTTTACTTTAAAATTCAAAATGCGACAGTAGAGATTTTTTATTGTAACATAATTTTTGGAATACAAAATTTGTGAAATAGATATGATAGAAATTCATCGATGCTGATTCTGCATACAGAAAACAGATTTATTTAAGTTAAACAAATGAGATACGTTGAAATCACATTTCTTTGAATCTACTAAATTTTTATTTGCTAGATTTGAAGAAACAGATACGAATCCTCTTAGAGATTCCAGTCTCAATGAAATAAAATTTTGATGCAGGTAAAGAAATCACTTCTTTGAATCTACTGAATTTTTATTTGCTAGATTTGAAGAAACAGATATGAATCCTCTTAGAGATTCCAGTCTGAATGAAATAAAATTTTGATAAAGGTAAACAAAATCTCTTCTTTGAAATTGAATAAAAGTCTAGTGAGGTCAAAATTCAAAGAAAACTTGCATGATTTCGAAGAAACACTTTTCTGGGTGTGCCAGAAGTTGGTGGACGATCAGGTCTCGACGAGAAAACAGGAGGGAGGGTTTCCCGGAAAGAGATAAGTACGGGATGCACGACTGTCGTCACATGCGTAAACACCGGCGATTCTGGCTCTCGTCATACTCAAGTATATTCATCGCGCGTCCATCAACCGAGATCTCATCGTCTTGCGCCGTTAATCGATCCATGTTAATGGGCGAGCGTGTCTATATCGCGCGAAACCTTCTCGAGATTTTCGTGTCAGCCAAAATTCAGTAGGTACGTAATTATGTGTATACATTTAAATTGTTCCTCGAGCGATAAACCTGGAACCTGGAACGATCTGGCACGATCTCTGGTGTCGAAATCTTATCGCGACATCTCGATTAGCGGCGCAATATTCAGAGGAGATACTTCATATTCTAACAGCGACGTTTCTCGGTGTCACGAATGACGGAAAAAAAACATCGTTTGCGATAATTGCGGTGACAGATTGATGCGATTCGGAAGCTAACAGCGTCCCGTCAACTCGCCGCTACGGGCAACTCCTTCGTATTTTCTTTTGTTTTCTGTAAGACGCCGAGAAAATGTGTCATTAACGCGGGCCAAGAGATTCTAATCGCGAGACTCGGGGGGGACGTGACGATAAAAAGACACCCATGAAGATAATTGATTCGAGCAGTGGTGATTCGAGCCTCGTGGCTCGACGACACCCGCCGGCTGAAACTATTCAGCATGGCCTCTTATTGCCGTCCAACCCTCCGCGCACCGACCTATTTCCGGCTAAAAATAGCCAATGATAGAATGATTGTCGCTAAAACGATGATCACTCGACCGCGGCGTGTCGCGATTAAGTGCGAAGGCGCCGTAACGCAATCTCTCGTGCCACCTTTGGCCGCCTCCGTGTTCGAATCCTGCGCCTCCAATCGCGCGGGTTGCCTTTGAACAGGGCGGGAAGAGATTTCGGTGCAAATTGCAATTTAACAATTCTCGTAAACGAGGACGATCGACGGTCCAAATTGATTTCACCGCCGATGTATAATATTTTAACTTGCGTTTAGACACGTTCATAAATTTCGTAAAACGATCCAGTTCGTGGCGCTTGATGTATTTCCTTAGTGATAAGATTAAGACCGGGTGTTATCAACCCGCTATCGCGCACAGTGCGACGGTTCCGACGCACTCTCGAGCATCGTGTCTCATAATATTTATCCTCTCGCTCTACGGCGCTAGTAATCGAGAGCGTATCACTTGTAAATTCTTGTTTAATTACAAAAATTAACGCAACGTGTACAGCTATCGCTTAAACACTTGTAGCTACAGATAATTATTATCGATAATCATATAGTGTTCTCTTTTGAGCACACGATGCGATAGAGATGTACGAATCAAGGATTTTGTTTGTAATTAGTTTTATGTAGATTTTGCAACGCGTTT